ACTGTGTGCAGTTCTGGGCATCTCAAATAAGGACATCAAACTATGAGAGTGCCTCCAGAGGAGAGCGACCAAGATGATGAAATGTCTTGAGGGCAAGAGTTAGGAGGACCAGCCGAGGTCACTTGTTTGTCTTGGAGAAAGGAAGGTTGGGGGGTGACCTTGTCAGAGTCTACACCTTCCTCAAGGCAGACAGTGGAAGGGGAGCTGCTGATCTCTCTCTGGTGGACACGAGGAAATGGAATGAAGCTGTGTCAGGGGAAGTTCAGATCAGACATTAAAAAAGGTTCTTCACTGAGAGGGCGGTGGGTCACTGGAACAGGGTCCCCATGGAAGTTCAAGAAGCACCTGAAAGATGCTCTTAGTAATACGGTTTAGTTTCAGGTAGTCCTGCAAGGAGTAGGGAGTTGGACTCTATGATCCTTATGATCCCTACCAACTCACTTATTATCACTGAAGCTGAGCAGCCCAGTACCTTAGCTTTGCAAGTATTACTGGCCGCACTGTCCAGACCAACTGACAGAGCAACTGATGTCATCTACCTGGACTTGAGCAAAGCATTTGACACCATCCTGCACAACATCCTTGTCTCTCAATTGGAAAGACAGATTTGATGGATGGGCCGCTTGGTGGAACAGGAATTGACTGGATGGCTGCACTCAAAGAGTTGCAGTCAACAGCTAGACGTCCAGGTGGAGACCAGTCACAAGTGGTGTTCCTCACAGGTCAGTACTGGGATTGGCGCTGCTGTTGGCTACATGGACAGTAGGATTGAGTGCACCCTCAGCAAGTTTGCTGATGACACCAAGCTGTGTGGTGTGGTCAACAGGCTGGAGGGAAGGGATGCCATCCAGAGGGACCTGGACAGGCTCGAGAGGTGGGCCTGTGTGAACCTCATGAAGTTCAACAAGGCCAAGTGCAAGGTCCTGCACAAGGGTTGAGGCAGTCCCAAGCAAAAATACAGGCTGGATGGAGAATGGACTGACAGCAGCCCTGAGGAGAAGGACTTGGGGGTGCTGGTAGATGCGAAATTCAGTATGACCCAGCTAATGTGTGCTCACAGCCCAGGCCAACCGCATCCTGGGCTGCATCACAAGAAGCGTGGCCAGCAGGTTGAGGGAGGGGATGCTGCTGCTCTACTCTGCTTTGGTGACACCCCACCTAGAGTACTGTGTCCAGCTCTGAAGCCCTCAGCACAGGAAAGACATGGATCTGTTGGAGTGGGTCCAGAGGAGGGACACAAAAATGATCAGAGGGCTGGAAGACCTCTCCTATGAGCAAAGGCTGAGAGAGTTGGGGCTGCTCAGCCTGGAGAAGGGCAGGCTCCAGGGAGACCTTACTGCAGCCTTCCAGCACCTGAAGGGGCCTATAAGAAAGCTGGAGAGGGACTTCTTACAAGGGCATGTAGTGATAGGACAAGGGATAACGGCTTTAAACTAAAAGCGGGTAGATTTAGATTAGATAGAAGAAAGAAATTCTTCACTCTGAGGGTGGTGAGGCACTGGAACGGGTTGCCAGAGAAGCTATGGATGCCCCCTCCCTGGCAGTGCTGAAGGCCAGGCTGGACAGGGCTTTGAGCAACCTACTCTAGTGGAAGGTGTCCCTCTCCATGGCAGGGAGGTTGGAACTAGATCTTTAAGGTCCCTTCCAACCCAAACCATTCTATAATTTTCCACAGTGCAATTAATAATTAACATATGAATCTTTGCATAAGTATTCCCAAAGCATCAAAGGATCTTAAAATATGATTAAGTATCAAGAACAATGGCCACTGATGAAGATATTAAATCCACTGTGTAAATGAAAAGCTTTTAAATAATTACATCTGCCAAGTTAGTTTACATCGTCTCATTAAAAACAAAAACAAACCACCTTTATTTGCTTGTTTCACCATCAACGTCTTGTGTGACCCTGGCTAATCAAACTCCCTATAATTCAGCTTCATCCTTAACTCAGGATGCATTTTTCACCACTGTTTGAGCACTGCAAAATGTAACACATCTTCAGCTGACACACAGTGCAAACAGTATGTATAAGGAGCACCTCCATCCCTGTAAATTTTCTTTTGACTAAATAACATCTTTAGAAAGGTGAACTTTAAGGCAAGACTTTGATTTCCATGAATTATAGTTATTTTTCACTTTCAAAAACATGACACAACATTTCATATCATTTTCTTATGACCTCTCAAAGTAGATTAAAAGAAGTCTGTTATCCACCACAATTAAGGTGGCAAACTGTCCCCTACAAGGCAAGCATATTTTGCCAATATCTAGAGTTGCACAGAAATATGATGATTGATCATGCACAGAAGTATGCAGAGTAATGAAAGGAAACAATGTGCCTCATTCTAAGAGAAAGAACAGGACAAAATTGTGTAAGCGTACATCATACATTTATTACTGAACAACTCTCTCAACTCCAAAATTGGGCACAGGGATTAAAAATAAAAATTCATTGCACTACCTAGTAAAACATTACTAGTAACTCTCATAAAAAATGTACAAATTGTTAAAAAGTTATCAAGCCTTCAAATGATTTGGTTACAGATATTTATAATACATTTAAAACTACATGTTAAACGATACAATAGAGTATGATTTAAAGAAAACACTTGACAAAATACGATTCCAACAAAACCCATAAGCTTTTATAATCATTAGTAAATCTGAAACACAAGTAGCAAAATGAGGTAACAATGTACCAAAGGAAAAAAACACAGTTTTTACAAAGGCCTATAGATAACTCAGTCAAAAAAAGTGTTTTCTACAAGTAAAATTCAAAAAGCTGGTAAATCTCATCCCAAGTATTACACAACGTTTTAACAGCTGTGAAATCACATTCAAGAGCCTGTACAAAATCACATACAACAAAAGGCTTCATTTTTTTTGTAAAGAAAGCCACAAAATGAGACATTGGAATTATCTGTAGGCCTTGATATCCACTAAAATGTCAAATGAAATTGACAGTTTATGCAAAAAACACAGCAGTGCCAATATGATAAAGCAAACACATAACAAGTTGAGGTTTCTTTTTTTTTTGGAGAAGCAGCAGCCAGGTGATGGTAGAAAGGCAATGAACATCAAAACAGTCTTGTTGAATTCAGGTGCTGCCAGGCACCATGGCAGGCTGTGGAATTACACACAAATGTGCATAACACATGGCAGTTAACTGCTGAACATGAATCCCCCTCTCAAGACAGCTACAACAGAGAGAACTTGGTTGTAGCTTGTCTGAGCTGATTCAGAGCATACGCATGTGTGCTGTTTATACACACTAGCCACAGGAGGCAAGCCCACACACATCTGCAAGAGTCCCATGCAAAAGGAAGAACCATTCCAGAAGATACGAGCCATAAGAGTGCAACAACTAATTTCAGGATTTTACCAACTTCGACCCTCCATCTCCTAGAACTCCCACTGCCTCACAGAGTTTTACTGGGGAAAAAGGGACATCACACATCAAGATTTCTCCATTTCCAGAAAGAGGACTATTTTTACTTGGCTTCAGAAGAATGTGTCTAGCTTAGAAAAAGTACCCTCCTTCCATGCTTTGAACTGAATACTGAGCACAGTAGTGTTAGTTGTGTTTAAACCTGTACACACTCAATTTTTTCTTTTGCAGTTATATAAAACAGCCAAAGTTTTGTAAGATATATGTGGCATATGTTTTTTAAAGAACATGATTTTATTTGTTAAAAAAATGAATTTTATTACATGTAATTTAACCTGCTGTTATTGTGAAAAGCCTATACTTTGACTCCACTGGAAGAGAGGAGAAATCCTAATATGTTGAAGTTGATGTAACAGCATTTTTATTTATTTAGTGTTCGTAAGTATGTACATATGGAAAGACTTACTGTTTTTGAGAACTATCTGCATAACTAAACAGAGTGAAGAGCATCTGAAACACAGTAAAATTGTGCTTTTATTTTATCTGCACCAAGAGCTGTGACTGGTCTGTAGAACCTTTAAAGAAGGAAATCAGCATGGAGAACATCTAACACTGTTTGAAATTATAACTAATACTAAAGCATAGCAGCATACAAAAGCATCAGAAACGATAAAGAACAAACTTAAAGCTGAGACTGGCAGCAAGTTGCAGCAATATTGCTAATTATGCCATTTGTGCTGCTGCAACCAAAGTAATGACACTGAATTTAGGAGAAGAATTTTGTTGTAAAAAGTGCATTCTATGAATAACTATGGTAAATGCAGATCTAAATATTTTGCTAGATCAATCAAAGAACATCAAAGATGTTAACAGTCTGAATGTTATAAATGAAGCTAATTTTTTTTGCAATAGTCCAAATAAACCATTATTCAGAGCACTTGCATAAAGGTTACCACTTCCTACTTCACAGCTCTGTTCTGGAAGGTGTTCCAAATTTCTCCTACAGGGGAGTGCTCTGGAACTCGACTGCAAAAACCGAGGGAGTTTTCTTCATATTACACTCATCATGAAAGAAGGAAGGGCAAGAAGCAGCATCAGGGCAACTGAATTCTGCATTTAGTGACCAAAACCCACCTTCTCTTGTGATATAATGAAAAAAATCGGAAGTTCTACTTCTCTGAGAAAATGCCAAAAGATTTATTTTATCCATGAAGTTGCAGGAATAAAATTGTAACCTTTTATAAGTTATTTTAGTTGTATACAAACTCCTTTGTAAACGACAAAGAATGCATGTGATTACAGCCAATGTTCGTAAGCTAAAAAATTATGTCCTTAGCAAGTACAACGGCCAGAAGTGAAGAGCTGTTGCACAAGACCCCTGGTGTCCTTTTTACTTCTTTTCACGAAGAAGAACATAACTGGTACACCCAGCTAGAGAACAGAAAATGGTTGATATTCATCTCAGCAACTGAAAATGTTAATATTGCTAAATGATTTGTGTGACACTGCAACTTTACATTGACAAAATAACTTGTAAATCAGCCATATAAAAATCCAGACTTTGTAACATATGCTAAAAACCCCAAGGTTACGCACGTATGAACAATCAATGCACTCTTTAGTGGTACACATTTAAAGTCTCCGATGAAGAGGAAGCAGAACAGCTGTTTGAATAGTAGGTAGAAAGGTCTTTATACCTGTAAGTACATTGGGGAGGAAATACTAAATGTCTGTAATTGCTGCACCCATCACATTCAGTGTGCAACTGCAAACACAAGGAAAGGAACCAGTGTACAGTACTAGTACTGTTTAAATAACACACAAGATTATACATTGCAGCATAATTATTACTACACGCATACGTTCTCAGTACATGCTGGTATATAGGTTCTCAAACACACATGCACACTCAGTCACAAGCACACTTCGCACACCCTCTCACAAGCAAACACACATTCACACCATTCACTCCCACTCACAGTATCTGAAGGCTCTATATAAGGTAGATTGCTATATCGTTCGGAGCTACCACTTTTTTTTTTCATTTTTCTTTTATATAAAAGCACATGCTAAAAGATCACATCCACAGTAATCTCGCAGCAACACTCGGAATGATCACACAAAAACCAGGGAATGTTAGTGCACACACAAAATTAAGCTTAAAAAAAAAAATAAATCTTTGGAGTTCCAATCACACTGTTAGTATAACAATCCCGTAACTGTGAAGACTAGTTATAAGCTTTATAATTGATTAAGTCACACAGTGCAAAGTAAGGTCCATTGACCCTTTTGTGTAAAGGGTAGGCTGGAAGCCACAGGAGTAAGTTCAATAGATAGTTCATATATACACGTGATCAGGAAGAGCCAAACCAGATTTGTGCTCTTAGATTGGTCATTCTGAATCACGATGCACTTCCGAAGAATCAGCTCTACAGATTGGGCAGGTACGATTTGCCTGTAAAACCAGAAACAAAAGAGGGTTTATTGTACTGACAAATACATTGTTAAGGTAATATATATACGACACTGACATCTGTGAGTACTGAAACACAACTCAAGAGTACTCAAAACAAGAGAAGAAAATGTGTGCTCACGTCTTTTTTTTTTTTTTTGTTATTTTAGAGTGCTGTGGTAAATTTGCCATTCAAAAGTATGTCTAAAAAAAGATTGTCTTTTATCTTTAAAGCTAAAGCAAACTAGCAAACTAGACTATCGAAGTGATGGTGGTTTTATTAATGAAGATTCATGGTTCTAGTATATTGCAATCTGATGGATGCAACTAAGAAAAGTATGTTTGAAAGTATGTCTGTCCTGTGACTCAAAATTGCAGGACCAGCTACTGTTGGCTCTAAGTTTTTCTATGGTAGCCAAATCTTCCAATGAAAAAACTAGTGAGAGTATCAAGAAATGTGGCTCTGCAGGCCAGAGTTCAGAAATCATTGCCACAGATTTTGAATCCAAGCAATGAATGCCAATGAAAGTAACATGTTCTTACTGAAAAACGTTATTTAGTAATGCAACTTAAAATGACGGTCTATTTTTCTGTCAATTACTATTGTTATTACTTTTTTATAGTCTATATTGTACTTATTATTGCTTTATAGTTTTTGTAAGGCATCAATTGGAGAATCAATTAAAAATTTATTTCTTGCTCTTTCACTAGCAATTTTGAAATTACTTGAGGACAATGCCATTACTTGGTCACTACTTTGTATTTGCATTATTCTAGATATAATTCAACTAATATAATTTTTAAAATAAAAAGAAACATTTCTTCAAAAGTCAATTGATTAATTAATCCACTGTGCCAGGATAAAATGAATACTCTAGGACACTGCAGCACTGCTTTTTAAGGAACTTTTCAAGATGCTACATGAACATCTGTTTTAAATTTAGTTGCATTCTTCTGCCTTTCTTGAAATTCATTCCCCCTTCCTGGCATTTAATGTGACTCTGTTGCAAAAAGAGGAGTGAGGTAGACATATTATTGTAATATTGACCTTCTAACTAGCCACTGTTTCAGGCAAACTTACTTTTTGTACTGTAAGGCGAGAGAGCTGCACAATAAACTACCGATTTTTTTTTTATATTTTATAGAATTTTACAGCTAAAGCAAACTGCATTTAGAATAATGAATCTGCAAGGGCTACTAGAATCCTCTAAAAAGCACTGCACTACTTTGGTGTCAGTCCATCAGAACCAAGTTAAACTATAGTTACAATTTGTCACTTCTCATATATAACGAGCATTTCCAATCAGAATGTTAAATACAAAGGTAAGTTTTCCTTGTTATCTGGTTCTAAGCTCTCAGGGTGAAGACAGGTTATGCTTTCCAGCTGTCCTTTGGAATGATGACTAACTCATTACAAAAAAACCCGATTTCTCATGTACGCATATTTGACTAAAGGATTTAGGTTATTAAGAAATAACCAAATACTGTGAAATATGAGAGCTGACAATACTATGAAAAGCAGAAGGATAGCCTCCCTCTTGATAATTCTGTTTCCTCCGCTGTATCACATCTTCTCTCACAAGTCTTAACCAGGGAAGTATAAATTAAAGTGGGCAACCTAAAGGACTGTAAAAAAACATTTCCTCTCACTTGCTCACACTACCTAAAAAGGTGGTACTGTAAGTGGTATTATAACAGCAGGGTAGATCAAACCTTTCATGCATAGACAAGCCATAAAACTCTCTTAGATAGTGTTTTTTTGCTCCATCGTCACCAACAGGCAGTGGAATAAGGATTTTTTTTTTTTTTTTTAAATAATCTGATTGGATCACTAAATATATCTTTAAATCGTTCACTAACAACATGATGAAACTTGTAAGAATCAGCTTGACTCCATAGTTCTAAAACTAGTTCTAGAAATATACCTAGATAGCAAATACTTTCTTCAAAGAGACAAGATTAAATCAGTAAAACTTAGGGACAAACTGGTAACTTTTTTCTTTTTACCTTGTGGAAAAAAGTTACAAGTACTGAAAGCTACGATTTCTACCTTCCCTTGCAGAATATACCAACAGGATGTTGGCTGGATGAAGTGAATTAAGTGGATGTGGACATAATTATACAATCGACATATAAAACAAGTTGTCAAACACATAAAGGCATGGACAGAAGCAAAACTGTAGCACAAAGTATCTTCCAGTTATCCTCACTTCCAGATGTTTGCTGCTTAACTGTAACTAGGTTTAGACAGAGGCTGTAACTAAAATAGGCTGGTGTTACAGGTAATTTCTTATAGTTTGCAAAGCAAACTAATCTTTACTTCCATACACCATTTTCATAACAGCGTATCTAAACCCACATGGTGTAAATATATTGCCTTAGCAATCCTACATGATGATGCCTTAACCTTGTTTAACTCATTTTATATCCAGCTCTGGAATGCATGATGCCATACAAGCAGTTTTAGGTGGGTATAACTGCACTCCCTTTAGGTTTAGATTGCGTGTCGTTCACCTTATCCTCCCACCTAGCTGACAATCTTATGCTCATAGAGTTTTTCTATAAGAAAACCTTTAGAGAATTCCACACTTCAAGATCTGTTAGAAAATACATCATTTAGTTTCTAAGCTGGGACAGGAACATCAGGAAAAAGCTGTTTCACCCATTACTACAGTGCATCTATGATTACGGAAAAGACTAAACTAAACCTGCTTTTTTCACTTGTTCTGAATTAATTTTCCCATTCATTACCAGATTAAAGTACTAAATCTAACTGTAGAACTGCCACAATGATTCCCAAAAAGCTTAGTTCAACATACTTGTCTGACTCTTGAGACTGTCAGGTAAGAAAGAGCATAAGAACAAGACAAGCATGCATGATACTTCCCTGACATGTTCTTCTAACTTCCAGCAATCTGCAGATCAGGGGCTCTATGAATCAGAGGTACATTTTTTTGTATTAATAGCCTGGAAAGAGCTGTCTTTTTAATAACTCTATATAATCAATTTAACCTATACAGACCTAAAGCATCCACTATCTCACAGCCTGTGTCAAATGATCTTAGTTCTTTTTTCATAAAATGGAGTGAATACTATCCCTGGATACTCTGTCCACACCACAAACGACTTACAAAGTTTCATGCAATGAAGACTTGACAAATCTAGTGTGAACACTCCTCGAGAGGAGTAGGGGGACACTGGAGAATACCACTTGAATATCTATAATCTACTCTTAATCTGCAGTTACTGAATAAAACAGCGTACACCTAACACAGATATACTATTACGTGTGTGGGGGGTGGTGTATGCAGATTTTAATCTGACAATACAACAACTAGCAATAAAACAACAAAGTGTTTATATTCCTCTTTCCGATTCTCAAGTATGTACATGGATTCTGATACTGAAGGACATCTACTGAAAATTATGTGTACTGTGGAAACATTTACACTGGCCTTAGATTTTGTAGAAGCCTTAGACTACTGTGGGTACTGTAGCCCAAGTGCAATTTCATATCCCAGTTTTTAAAACCTTTCTCGTTATTCTTGATATCTTGTTAGCCAAAAGAATGCTGTCAATGTTAACTTGATTTTTTTATTCTCTGCACTGAATATTTTAGTGTGTGCCTACGATACGCATTTTCCTGCTTTTATGAAGCCATAAAGGCAAGGGGCTATAATGACTTTTTCCAAAACAACAGAAACTATCTGTAATTCTCTAGGGACTGTACCCTGTATTAACATAGGATCACTGCAGCGTAAAAGATTTACACAACAGACTACACACAGATTAAACTAAAGCTGAATAGAATAAAATACTGAAAAAGGTCAGGCAAGATGGGGATCAATACCTTGTTAGCCGTAGATCTGCCTAATGCAGCTGGTAGAGATATCTGTGTATCATCATCTACTTATTTGTATTTCCTGTTCTTCACACCTTCTGTACTGCTGCTACTTCCTCTGTCCTCTTACTGCATTGCCCTGATTCTAGATCCTTTCTTTTCTGCTCAATTTCTCTTGGAAGGATATATCATAATTTTGTAAAACTGTAATTTCTATTTGTATATATTACATTTCTCTATATATATGTGCATATGTATGTACACACACAACACATTTCATGTGCCCCAGAACCTACTGTCAATAGCAAAGTGGGAGAGGAAGGTATTAGTACTTGTTCTTGCTATGCAGGATATGCAAAACAGTTACAGCCACCATCATCACAGAAACTCTAATTCATACTTCCTATATTATGTTACTGTTTTGTTTTCAAGTCTTCTTTAATTTCACATATTACTTGAATTCACAGTCACCGTTTTGTGCAAATGCAAAACGTAGTAAGATCTGTCAATGAAAATAATTCTCTTCATATTCATTTTTCCTTGTGCCAAAGATTACTGAAGAAACATCCTTCATCAAACGTTAGAAAAATATCATAAGTAGGCAGTGCTTCAACTTTGTTGGCTCTTCTAGCCTAAGTAAGCCTAAGCAAAACAAGATGAAATGAAGCGGAACAATAAAATACAACCCTCCCTCAATTACGTAATTAATTCCTTACAAGATAGGAATATTTTCTTTCCTTTTTACCTTCAGCCATTTATCAACACACTTGGCATGGAACTCGTGGTTACAGGGTAAGACTCTAAGTAGCTGTCTTGACTCAAAATCACACATGCACACCACACACCTAAAAAAGACAACAAAGTTCAAACGTATCTGCTATGTAAGAACAATAAATACATATTCCATACAAGCCTTTATAGGTATAACTGAAAAATGAGAATTACTTTGTGTTTTTTTTTCTCTGTGCTTTCAAATCACAAAGCAAGAGCTCCCACTCACAGAAGTTCAAAGATCCAATCAACAGAACAGATATTTAATCAAAATTCAAAATAGCCAAGAAAATGATCTATAGAGTTCACTCCCTACTGATACTAGTAAGTCACACTGAGGGTCACTGAAACTGGAATATCAGGGAAAAATCCTTACACTGAAATTCAAAGATTAGACAGCATTTGGTACAAAGTCACTTTATCTACTTTCACATCTATACTGCCCTTTCCACTTGGTTATGCAGATCTTTCAAACACAGCAAGTTAATGGATTTAAAAAATAAGATGTGCTCTTAAACCACTGACCAAGCTCTACAAAGAGCACTTGAAGCTTTAACACTTGAACCTATTTTAACACAGGCTAGATTCCAAGTTGACAATGTCATTTTGATGTCTAGTATGCTGAACAAAACCTAGAATATCGTTTTTCATTTTGATTTTTTAAATGCTGAGGAACTAAACTGAAACATAGCTAAATGACGTGAGACTAGACAGAGGTTTTAAAGTAAGGATAAATAGTATTTGATCTGGAAAGCAATTCAAGAAAAAAAAAGAAAATTAAACTTTTTACTTACATGACTGCTTTTAAAGCCCTTCTGGCCTAGATGAGTCTGCAAGTTAAAGAAATGAAAATATGGCCACCTAAATTATGGACCTTTGAAAGAGACCAATGTACTTACAATGTCTGTTCTGACTGGTGGTTGTTTGGATTGAACCTGTAGGATGGAAGCTGTTCAATGTCCGCCTTTGTCAGTCCTCGTGGTTTGGCTTCTCCTAGTCGTTCTGCCAAGTTCAGCAAAGCCTGCAGAACACGGAAAATGGACGTTTAAAAATCGAGTGCTCAAACGGGCTCTGGTTCCACTAGAGAGGTGGCTGCCATTACACCTCACTACCCCAGCTGGTAGCACTAAACACCCTTTTATCAAGAGATGTTCAGAACCTTAGTTCTCCCCTACAACACAAGCCCCATGGAAAGTTTTTCAGAACTCAAACATCTTTCTAACTATGTAAGATGTTCTTTTTGGGATTTCAAAACCTCCAATTAGTCCTGTGGCTGCATGCAAAGCTTGGTAAGTATTTTGCTTCTGAAGGATCCCCTCCATATAGTGCAGATAACCAGAAAAAATCATGAACAAATTTGCTTCCTAAGAATACGCAAGTCCGGTCTTTTAAGAGAAACAAGAATTTTATGGGACAGGTTCTGAGTCCCACTCTACGTCTTGGGCTAGCTGAATTGAAATATGGTGATTTTATCCTAATACTGGAAAACAAATATGTACCATCAAACTTTAAGCACTTTTTTGCTAAATTTTATGTTCACTTTCTGTAAGCCAAGCATTGCAACTAAAAACCTCTCAAGTAAATAATCTGCACTCTGTGATGTATGTAACTTGCACTCCTTCAGAAGGGACCTAGGAAAAATCTCACTATAAACATGATGGACAATCAAGGCACAGAGAAGCTAAAAGACCTGGTGAATGCTGGAAACTGTACTGATCACAAAGAGGTTTTTAATACTGTCAAAACTAGGGCCCAAATTCTCAGAAGTGATGCTTTTTTCTGAACTAGTACAGAAGTTATTACAGAAGTGCTCATCGGTAAACTGAGTATGTGCAAGTAACACAGAGCTCTTAATGGGAGCACAGGGAAAAAGATGCAAAAGTAAGGGTTGATGATGACTGGCTGCAGAGATATTGAATGGAATCCAATAGTCTCAGAACCAGCAAAGACACAACAGCTGGGACTGCCCCGTAATTATCTAGGATATTAAAGAGAGTTCTGCATCTATAGATGTGAATCACTGTGCCCTCCTGAGGGCCAAGAAGAAAAGGCAGTAAGGCAGTTTTCACATTTAGATTAACTAATCCTAAAACATCAACACTATTCTGCATTAACACTCTTCTGCAAAGTTACACGCATAAAATGAGTAACTTACCCTGTTCTTTGAAAGTGCTTTGCTTCTGTTTGATATTTAAAATAAATTAAAACTCAAAAGGAGAAGAGTAGCACGTAGAATATAAAACTGAACAATTAAATTATTACTAGGCTGGAAGGGTGAATTCTAGGAAAGAGCAATAGACAAAAAAAGCTAAACACTTCTAACATCAAGTATTGCCAAAAAAATCTGAACAGGTAGTTTCTGGATTCTCTCTTCACAGTCACTACACTTATTTGAAAGGCAAAAGCAGGATTAAAAGCAAAATATAGTAAAATTTTATGTATTTTTTGAGCTAACATCTGTTCTTTAAAGGTAGTTGTAGTTCACACACCAACCTCATAGTTTTCTACCTCTCCATCTTCCACATCCAACTCAAAGCTGAAAGCTGGTCCAACTGCAGGTGGCACTGGGAGCATTGATCTACCATGAGAGCAAACAACGACAAGGCTCAGCATCTTGCTGAAGGAAAACACAGAGACATCTTGCAAAGGTAAAAGTTATCTTATTGATCCCTCTCAAATGAACAAGTTCTCAGAACTGGTAAAAACGTTAAGTTTGAAGTTAAGAATAGACATTAGAAATTAGAGTCAAAGCAAGAAAAGCCAATTCTGACCCCCTTCTGATACTGAGAATGCTGCCTTTTTAATTGCATGCATGTCTCAACCGTTCGCTTCCAACCAGGCTCAGAACTATTACAAAAACTAATCTCTTCATTAGCACATATTATGGAGAGCTAAAACTGGTAATGAAATCATGTTCTGGATTTAAATATGTTTTATTTCTTTAAGCAGATAAAATAGCAACAAAGAAAAGGAATCCTAAGTTCACTTAACTCTCCAATGCAAAAGCCTTCAAACTTTTGTAGGCCTAAAACACACAATGAAGATAAACAGGATATGCTACCGGACTAACTCCCACAACTACAGGCAAGCACAAACTCACTTTCTCACATACTGTGATGTTGGTTAAAAGCAGGATCTCACCCAAACTCTCCCGCAGAGAGTTTACTGTAACACACTACAGATAATTTCTAAATGTTAAATTGTCCCACATCTTTTCTAGAAACAGGTAATCAGAGGCAGAACAGAAATTCAACCGCTGTAACAGATTAGCAGTTCAGCCAACAAAGAGTAACACATCACAGAAAGCTTCCACCCTTGTGTTTCATAACTAAAAACCAAACCAAATTAATTTATTCCACAAGTGAAGACTCCTAGGACTTTATTCTACAGTGTAACCATGCCTCTGCAAGAGTATCCAAGAATCAAGTTTCAAAATTTGTTGCAGATTTTATGAAACAAGACTTTTATTTTCAGAAACAAGAGGCAACTGGCCTCAAAAAACCTACAAAACTACATTGGACAAAACTGCTCACTTACATTTTTCCTTCCTCACAGGTGTATGTTATTCAAAATAGGCTGAAAAACTTACAGACAAGGAAGTTTTCCTCCCTTCTGGGACAGCTGAACTATGCCCGATCTCTGGTACAGTTCAACCATAAAAAGTGCCAAGACTCTTGCTGAAAGTCACACAACTTCCTCAAAGCCTACATGGAAGCAAATGCACTTTGAACTTACAGCACGTAAGGTAATAGGCTGGGATGGTAAGGGTGTGGTGGTATTGGCTGCTGTGATCGGTATCTGCTGCGCCCTGTGAATCTTCGAGGCATAAAAGGTGGGTAAGGCTGCAAGAAAGAAGAAAATAAGCTTCAACAGGAACTTGTGGAACTGGAACTTTTGTCCAGTTCTGGGGTCCCTAACACAAGACAGACACAAACATACTGGAGAGAGTCCAACGAAGGGCCACTAAGTTGGGACTGAGGCATTTCTCATGTGAGGAAAGCCTGAGAGAGCTGGGACTCTTCAGCCTGGAGAAGAGAAGGCTCAGAGGCATCATATCAACGTATATAAATACCTGAAGGGAGGGTGCAAAGAAGACGGAGCCAGGCTCTTTTCAGTGGTGCCCAGTGACAAGACCAGAGGCAGTGGGCACAAACCGAAACATAGGAGGCTCCGTCTGAACATGAGGAAACACTTCTTTACCACGAGGGTGACTGAGCACTGGCACAGGTTGCCCATAGAGGTTGTGGAGTTCCCCTCCTTGGAGATACTCAAAAGCTGACTGGACACAGTCATGGGCAAGAGGCTTTAGGTGGCCCTGCTTCAGCAGGGTGTTGGACCAGATGATTCAGCATTTTGTTTTCTTAATCATGAAATAAAACGAAATCTGAATATTGAAATCCACTTTCAGCCAAGGACTATTAAAAAAATCCAGCCTTTGTTCAAATCCAGAACCTCAGCCTCAGTTTGAAACGGATGCCATTGATAACATATATTTATACAATTCCACGTGAAAACGTAGTAACACACAGAGAAACCCTTGCAAGCTCTTGTATGCTTAGTCTACAAGCAGACTGGTTTGGGAAACAGGACTGGAACTGCTGACTCTCTTGTAAATATAAAAGCCCACGCTTTAGGCCTGGTGTGATAATGCAGGCTTGCACACAAGTGGTTCAGCAAAGAAGCCTTTATAAAAATATTTTTAAAAATCCACTTTTAAAAAAAAAACACCAAAAATTTTAAGTAGTGGTGTATATTTACATTTATATTAAAGAAGGGTTGAAGCTTTTCATGTGTACGTGGATAGTTTAATCAGCACAGTTTCTGCAGCTGGACAATGCCTAAAAAGACAGTCAAACCTAAAGCTTCAATGTATTCTTCCCATGGATAAATCAGGGCTTTTTTGTCATACTTTTTTCATTTGCATGATAAGCTCTTTACTTGTATATTTAAGTTTCATTATAATTGTTCAAAATCCCTTACATTATCTACTAAAATGGGGACATACATGGTAAAAATTTTCCAACTAAATGCAAACTGTATTTTTCCAGAAACACTCAAATTACTAAAATTTTTTAGTAATTTTTAAAACTGAAATTCATGTACCACTATTGACTTCATATTTGGAGTCCCTGAGACTTTTTTTTTCAGGGAAACAAAGAACACTCAAAAGTCTTTATTAAGATGTTTTCTTCTTTCATGTTTGAAATTTTAGAAAATATGAAAGTGCAACACCACCACTGACTAACCTAAAAACCCCAAACTTTACAATGGAAACATCATTAATAGGTAGCCATGGTCACACAAAACATTTACATATGAATATAAGCACAATTCAAAAGAGCCAGGGCCGTCTTCTTGAAAGTAAGATCTCAAACTAGACATAACAAATATAAATTTCACTTCTTTGTGAATTCTGCAGTCCAAAAAGATAAGTAGAAACTGTTGTGTTCACGAAATGAAAGAGAATCAGAAATGCAGCCATTCCACCATAATTTTAATCAAAATAGAAGTTTATAAATATTTAGGATTGCTTTACAAAAGACCATATGATTGCTTGTAATATATCTCTATTCTACCCCTCAGCGATATACATCCCTGAACTGAAGCAGAGAGGACAAATGCTCCAAATCTGCAAAAAAATGGTATTTTGTTACTTTTCTACTTTAAAGACTGAACTTCAAAATCAAGAAAGCCTCACTCCAACCAAAACATTTGTGATTAGGCTGTAATTCATGTAACAAGCACACTGAATGAAACACAAGCAGCTTATTGAAGTTTTTAAGTGTCTTTGTCTCCAGACTGACTCACAGTGACTGAAAACTTCACTGAAAATCTATACACCTTTAGTTTAACGAGCTGAATATTTTTTTCAAATGGTGGAGACTTATTTGAACCTTTATAAAAAATGCAGTCAGCACTTAATTAGGTTGTGTGATTTCAAGCAGATTAATTAAAGAGAAGTTATCTGCATATTCTGTAGTCCCAGGGCCTAAAATCTCATTCTCATTTAAGATTTTAAATAACAATATGCCTCTAAAACCTTCTGTCAATTTGATGCACAGGTCAAACATTTAAAAAGGTCAGTCTATATTGACTCCTGGTTATTTCTTCAAGCACTGCACAGGCAGGAGAGGATTTTAAAGAAACCCCCCCCACAAAACAACAAAAAACCCATCTTGGGACTAATTTAACTGCAGATTGAAATGCACCACAAAGATCCTAGAGGTAGTGGATACTGTACACACCACAGAAGTACGACATTCAGCACATACTTTATCCCGCACCAGGTTAATTTTTCATTGTGTGCTGCTGCAGTTGAACTGCCTGTAGATCCCCAGGAAGCTGGCTTAAAGCAAGCTTGGCTGTATTTCTAACATGAGGCAGTCTAAATTATGGTAGCACTCTACATAACTGCTTGCCTGCAAATTGCAGACACTATGGAGAAGAACTATTTTTAAAGCATTTTAGCTTTCTTGACTTGTGGAAACTCAACATATGATGAAGATTTAGCTAAAAGTGACAGCAGCTTTTCTAAACTGTACTAATTAGTTTCTGCAGTAGAGGTCCTGGAGTGTGTAGCAACATGGAATGTTTTCCAAGCAACTGCTATGACACTGTAGATGTATCAGAAATCATTTGCTGCTATCATTATGTTACCCTCCATTAAAACAAGCTTAAAGAAAATACCATGGTATGAAGCTATAGCAAATAATGGAATACAATTGCAAGAAGTGCCACTTTTCAACAAAGTGTACTATAGAATAAAGATCAGAACGTACATGCAGCATGAATGAGAATGTAGCACAGAAAACAACACTTACTACACCAAATGACACCTCCTGGTGTAAAGGATCATGAGTTAAGAACTGGAGAGGAGCTGAGGGAGACAATGTTGGTGGATGAGCTGATGGAGGGTATGTAAAACCTCCTACAGGAACATGTTCTCCAAGCAGTTCTACTTCATTTTCTATCCTTTGAAGTGGCTAAAAAAAAAAAAAAAAGATAGGCTTTGTTGAAGTAATAGAGATGCAATTTTTCCCCAGTAAAGAACTGCAATCCCAGCTGTATATTCTGAGCTCCTGTGGTCAATTTTATAGGGTTAAAAAAAAAAAAATTACATGTATAATTGTACTCAGTTTCACACAGTAACTCTGAACAATTCCTGTATCATTAACACTACCAAAAAGCAAAGACAACACTACACATTTGATATAAATTCACCTTTTCCAGCTAGCCATGCTTATAGACCAGGAATTTATGCGATCTAGCAAATATAGGAGTGGCTGTAATTTCCTGTGTCTTGCATTTTTCAGGACAAATATTTGCTCTCCTTCTTGCCAGGCTGCTCTCACTGTACAACTATGCGAGAGAAAAAAATAAACAACCATAGACGAGAACTGAAATTGTGCCAGAAAATCTAAAAAGTGGAGAGGAAACGTGGCGACTCCAGTGGATTAAACTGCTAATAATATTCAGTAATCAAGCAGATGCTTTTCTAGGAGGGTCATGCAAGCAGTCCTACCAAGAACACACAGTCCAGACATTTCAGAAGCTTGAGATTCCAGTTCAGTACTGTAATCTAGTCAACTGTAGTACATCAGTCAGTCCCAAAAGTACTCAAGAAATAACCAGGAATTGTCATTGTTTCATTAATACACCTTTGTGTTCCTGACACTGAATTCCACCATTTCAAGAAACTGAGCTAAGAAAGCCACCTTGTAGAACCAAAGGAATATTCTGATTCCCTGTTATGCACAGCAAACTTTAAACACAAACTATTCTTAAACCACCAAGATACCAGCTTTTTGTCAGAGCTGAAAGTTGACAGGCGAGCCTAATCAATAACCTAAGTAAGCTAAAACCCAAGCCCAATACATTTTCTAAAGGAAAGTCTTACAAAAGTTACCACTGAAAACCGTATTTTCCCAGCTGTTCTCCCATCATCATTGCTTACAACCCTATCCACATCTGAGACATGGCATGGAGAAGTCTCAGCAGTGTTTGTATGTAACGATGAAGCTGTATTCTATTTCTGCATTAACGAAATACTGGCATCTTCTAGTTAGAGGGGCAAACAAATGGACAAAAGTATACAGGTAATCCCACAGTACGAGCTGTAGGCCAAAACTGAAAATCTAATTTCCCCCCAAATCCAAAACAAGGTCACTTTGTCCCACGTTTTGCATAGTCCCTATCACTAAGCTGAGTCTGAAGTCTGCTTAAGCAGAAGGCACTGGTAACTTATACAAGACCTAAGGTTGTTATGTTCTAGGATAAGCAGTGGTCATTTAAAAATTCACTGAGAAGTAATACAAAAGAAGCATGTAATGAAAGTAACATTCTGTGCTTTCTTCTCTCTTTGTTAAGCTTTTCTCTGAGACCACTACTGCACAACCTCCTCTGGATTCTCCTCTGCCTCTTGGAAAAGAAATACCTGAAGGAATACTTGGTGAAGCAAATACACATCTTTTTGACAGAAGTAAAGGCCTATGGAGAAACAGCATGGACAACAGCTGATAAAATCTGAAGAGAAACACGGAGGACTTCAAAAATTATTTTTTCATCTTCACACTAAGTGGTTACAAACTTGCTAAGGAAGTGTAAGTGCAAAAGTCTACTACTTTAAACAAAATCCTTCTGTTTCCTCAATCACATACCAGCACAATTTCCCATTCAGCCCCAGCAATTCTACGGAGAGGGGGGTAAGAAGCATTACTTACCGACCGTGACTGCTGTGCTTGGAAAGGAACGAATTGTCCTGGAGGTGGCAAGTGAGGAGGGTGGTGTGGAGAGATATGAGGAGGATGCAAAAGAAATGGGTCACTAGAAATGAGGGGTGGAAATGCTGCATATGGTACAGGTAGGTGCTGGACTGAGCACGCCTGAAGCATCTGAAATAAAATGAAAACAACATATTTTTGTCTCTCGCCCAAACATTCCCTATAGAATATTCTATATTTATTATGGAAAGGTGTAATTAAAACAAAGCAGTTCTCTTGCCTCCTTGGAAAAACCTCCAGAACACGTATAAGTAGTAACTCATTCAAATACACAAGGAACAGTGATTAGTACAGAACAGGTTCTAGAAGTACCATAGTGTGACATCTGCTAGATGAGAAGTAGCTCTCACTTCTCACAAAGTCAGCGGGAATTTGCGTTTTCAATATTCCAGGATTAGACACTCTTAAGTGATGAGCATATACATTTATCGTCATTCATTTTATTTTCCCCCACATATTACCTTCAAAATGACATGCCAAAGCAACAGTCTTCCAACCACTTTAAGCTCTAGATGGACATGAGGGAGTCCCAGCTGTCAGACTGTGCCTCTGTTGACTCATATACTAAGAATAATTCATAAACTCTGCTCAGTTCTGCACTTCGAGGGGAGCCTCATGCTCTGAAGGTGGCTCCCTAAGTGACAGCTAGTGCGGAAAATAGTCCTTTTTTTCTCCTCTTTGAAATCTCTCATACAAAAGCAACTTTGGGCACTAAAGTTTAAACACTAAAGTGATGAAGGCACTGCAGGGGAGCAGCAATGTGCTTTGTGGAAGTGTTCAGTTTTACTTCGAACTTTAAATACAGAGAAGCAAGAAAACCTGCATTCTCTTTTTCTTGCTCTTTGATCCATCATCAGAACGTCAGACACTTCTGCTACAATTAATAAGACAGCTGTTCTCAAATCTTACAAAGAGAACCCAGTCCTGATTTCTCACTTTTTTTTCTTTTTAGTCATGTCACACAACGTATTCTGTGCATACTGACTATAGTGGCATAAAATGGTAAAGAGATATAATTTAAAATGAGATTACACTAGTGGAGGTGGAACTATCTCCTCAATTTACTGTGATCACAACAAAACATAAATCATTACATGCACTGAAAAAGCAGCAGATGAATTTGACTATTGCTTTTTCTTAAATGCTGCTAATTCTTCACTCTCAGCTACTACATCATTTTTCTAAAAAAGAAATACATCAGGCAAGTGTTTCTGTTAAAATATATTTTTATTGCTACTTTACTAAAATGAAAACTGTTCTCTGAAATAGCTGAAGATTTGCAGGTAGACCATCACATAGTGTTCTTTAACTTTGGGGAACATATTAAAATCGGCTTCACCCCAAGATTCTGCATGGTAAAGACTACCATAGCTCCAGTATATGTTTGGAATGAGCTGTGCTATGCTCATGGCAGTTTTTAAGTTAGAGCAAATGAGGCTGCGTTATCTTTCAAGTTTAAAGAAACAAAAAACACCTGTTTATTTATTCAGGCTTTTGGAAAACTTCTGCTGTATGAACATAACCTTCCAAGAAGTTTTAAAAGTGATTAAGGTATTTCATAAATGACATCTGTTTATTTTACAGTTACATATGCAGTGAGAGAGACAAATAATGTGAAAGTAACAAAATGATAGTGGGAAGATCACAAATGAAGCTGGCGAGCACGCTGATGTGCTGGAGAGCAAGTCTACTTTTCAGATGTATAGGCTGAAGAAACTGGCTGACAGGAACCACGTGAAGCTCAGTAAAGGTAAACGTGAGGTCTGGTACTGGGAGACAATAACTCCATGGAGCAGGACATTTTGAGACTGACTGGCTGGTGAGCAGATTTGCAGAAAAAAAAGTTGAGTTCTGGCGGACCTATTTATCGAACATATATACATGATACATGTTCCTTTTCCGAGTTAAGTAAAGGTGGCCCGTCCACCTGGTGTCAAAATTGGTAAATTTTGTCATAATTTGGTATATAACGCGTCATGATAATCACGAGTCCCAGTATAGTCCCTACATACTATAGAGACAGAGGTGTAGTACAGTGGGGGTGTTTACCACTATCTTATCGTTTTTTATTTTTATTTTTATATACAATCTTGGAATAACAGAACAAGATGTTACAGGTTACAAAATTAAGATGTAACAGTCCGCGATTTACTCGCAAATATATGTATTATGTCCACAGAGGTGAGTAGTGCTCGATTTGATAGTCGACGAGCAACCTTCTCTCGTCGGGACGAGGAGAGGCCCAAATCCGCCAATAACTCGTAGTTGCCCTGATGCCATTTTCCGCGTGCTCCAAGTGGGAAGCCCATGAATTTGATGCGGGTTGCATTTGTTAGTTCCTGTACTTG